GGAGAAACGACAAGGGTTTCTTTGGTCTCTGGTTTTTCTTTGTATTCTTCTTCTATGGATGATGGTGTTAACCTAAGCCATACCTAACCAAACGCAAAAACGGTTAGCGGTCTTACCTGGACCTCAAGGACTAGACCAGGCAAGACGAAGACATAGGCAGAGGGTTGATTATTTGGTACTCTTCTATTTTTTTGTAAAATGTGGGTTCTTTTGTTTTCTTAGTTCGTTTCGATTTCCATTTCTGAGATGTCCGTTGTTGTTTGACAGCCGGGAATGTAGTTGGAAACCAATGGTTCGGAGCAAGAATCGAAGATTGTACAGGTTTTGGTTGGTTGTAACAACGTTTGAAGTTTCTGTTTGTAGTAAAAGAACATGCTAAATTTAGCAATTTCTTTATAATGTTTTTGTTTCATAATTTGGAAAAATGTTTTGTTGAACCAATGAAATCTGAAGGAAGGAATCCACCGTTGATTTCATGGACTTATGAGCTGACTTCAATCGGTATATTGATTTCTATATGAATGTACCCCAAAAGCTGGAGAAACTACTCTAACGACCTCCTGCAATGTAGAACAGGAGCATTGCCCAAGCTTTAAGCCAATGACTAAGGGCTGGTGTGAAAGATACTTTAAAATGATTGAAAGTGTTTTTGAGAGAATATTTTTGGGTTTCAAAAGCACTTGAAGTGCTTCTCGCAAGAAACGCTAATTGCAGAAAGCACGCTTTCAACCATTTAAAAAAGATGGTGTCACGTAATGACTATAAAAGTTGAATTTGGGAAAAGATTTTACTTTTTGATCAACTAAGTGTTGTCTATAAAATTCGAACTCAAGACTTCTTATCACAAAGTAGAATTTCAAAAGACATTATAATAAATTAGATGTTATTTTGACACTTCCAAAAGATCACTTGAAACTTCTCTTTAATAAAACACGAGAGAAAATGCACACAAAGGAGTGTAGGATAATAATTTTTGTTTTGTGCCAATAACAACTCTCTACATGAATGTTAAATTAAGAAACTTAGTAGCAATGAATAGTAAACATCTGGCACTACTCTCTCTTATTTCTTGAATGGTATGGAGGAGTGTATGATGACTGTTTTGGAGTACTAGTACTAACAACTCCCTTAATTTCAAAAGATCATTCAAAACTATTCCTTAATTAAAACACTTACAAGAGAAAATGCACACAAAGGGATTGGAGGGTAACATTTTTTGGTGCTAATAACGGCTCTCTACATGAGTTGCAACTCCTCTTTGGGGGAGTGTATGACGACTATTTTGGAGTACTATTAATGGAGTGCTACTAACAAATCCTTAAATTAAAAGATTATTCAGATGTGTTACATTGTTCATTGTTATTTAAACTACATTTACTTATCACATTACCCGCAATACAGAGGTTGTCAACAATTAGTTCAAATAGTAGCACTCGTGTGTAAAGAGAAGTGATTTGTGCACATTTTTTTTCTTCCTGTTGTGCTTATGAATTTTAGAGTGAATAAATCAAAAGAGAATTACAGAATATAAAATAAATAAATAAATTGTCCTCCATGAGCAAATTGGTCCGAAAATCCTAATTATTCACAATATTAAAAAATTGTAACTTCTAGAATGATACTGTTGTCAAAGGTAGGTAACCATTGATCATATTATCATTCTTTTTTTAGTATCACCAGCTAAAAATCCAAAGACATGACGTACATAAATTTAGGGAGCATGCCTGCACAAGATATTTGTTAGAATATGAGAAGATATGTACGTGCTATGTACCCTCCAAAATTAACAAATTAATTAGGGAAGGTTTTGTTTAGTGACAGTTAGAAATGGATGGTGGAAATGGCAACGGATGTGCGCGGCCACCGCAGGTCCATCCACCCTCGTTGTCCCCATTAAAGGCCTTCACACAACGTCTGTGTTGAGCTGGTCGGGTTGGTGAGAGATCATGCACCTCAGAAACCCTAAATTCCTCTGATCCTTTTCTCCTTCTGATTATCTTTTTTGGGGAAGAAATAAAACACCGCCACCCCACCCCAACCCTCCAACCCGGCCCCGTACCACACTCAGATCGAAAGACCTATGTCTGATTGGTGCGGCGGCTTCCTTCTATTGCCGCTGTCACCACCACCACCTCCGTATTGAGAACACACACATATACACATACATAAACCTTATACCATACATTCAATACCATACACCACCACGTACGTACGTGCATGCATTTGGTTAATCAAGCAAACTCATCGTTTGTTTAATTAATTTTTAGTTACGTAAAAATGAAGGACGAGAACTTACACCGAAGGAAGATGTCGTCATCGTCGCCATCACTATCCCTTTCATCCTCCTCCGAGGAGCTGCAGCACATGCCGCTGGCCCCACCCAAGATGTTGAACCGGAAGCGCCTGAGCAAGCAGCTGTCCATGTGCGAGACGCCTAGGGACATCGCCTGGGAGAGGCGGCGGCGCCAGATTCTCAGCCAGGAGAGGAGGATGCACGGGATCAGAGACTCCGAAGACATGCATCTGACGGACGAGGACTTGCATGAACTCAAAGGGTGCATTGAGCTAGGGTTTGGGTTCAATGAGGAGGAAGGTCAGAGGTTGAGCGCTACCTTGCCCGCTCTTGACCTTTACTTCGCGGTCAACCGCCAGTATTCCCTGAGCCCCGTGTCCACACCGAATAGCGCTAGCTCCCGCCATTCTACTTCGTCAATGGGTGGACATTCGTTGTCGTTTGGAAGCCCTACGAGCGATACCGATGCATGGAAGATATGCAGTCCAGGTATGACGACTTTCTATCATAACAAAAGTATGATAAGAGAACATTTTTTTTAATAAATATACACAATATTTTAGTACTTTATCTGTCAAATGGGAAGGATGTTTCAGACTTTGAGCTGCTTCTATATTTGTGAAGAAAAATATAATTAAACTATCAATTCATAAAATATGAAATATGAGAATTTCATAAAAGAAAATATGAAATATGAGAATTTAATATTATTGTTTACCATACTATGCGTGGATATTGTAGACAATTGATGGTCATAGAATTAGTTTTTTAGAGTAATTTACTCCGAACTGTTTGTTTTGAAAAATATTAATTTGATTTTGTGGATTTGTAGGTGATAATCCTGAACAGGTGAAGACCAAATTGAGGCATTGGGCACAAGCTGTGGCTTGTTCAGTGATCCAGTCTTCCTGAAGAGTGGAATCATCATCAGATGGCTTTGCTTGTACAAAGGACTAAAAAGCAAAAGCAAAAACATGAAAAAAGAGAGGTTGTTCTTGTTCATGAGTGAGTGGTGCAGTTTAAGAAAATTGAAGTGTGAGATGGCTTTGCTTGTACAGAGGAAACTACTTATACTTTCTAGAGAGAGAGAGAGAGAGAGATAGAATTCTACAGGAAAAAAAAGGAGAGAGGAGATCGAGAGGAGGAAGAAGATCGATCGAGGTCGGCTTAAGGTTATGCTCAAGTGGGGTTTCTTGATTAATTTGTGCTACTAGTTACCATCTAAAGAGAGATTGGAACATGTTAAGCAGCATGCATGTATGCAAAAAACTGCAAATTAGAAGGATCTATTGGCACTCATCAGACTTTTCTGGTTGGTTTGGTTGGAGGATTAATGTGCTTAATTTTCTAATTACTTTTATAATCCAATTAAATTTCTCTTGGGTGCCCTGCACAGCACGTTTATCATGTAAGATATCTTTTTTGGGACACAGAGAGAGTTGATGATGTATATTGGGGACATCTAACATGCAACCACACCAGTAGCACATCCGGCATCATCGATCAAATATGAAAGTGGAATTGGAGGAATGTACTATATATGAAACAATTACCTTTAATAAATAGACCTCTTCTTAGAAATATTTGTTACTTTTTATTATTTTTTCTTAAGGATTGTTACTTTTTATTAGATATAGATGCTAATTGTAAAGACGTATTGCAATGATCATAAATTACAATATTTTTCATACCAATATTTGTCAAATGGAACGGATGATTCAGACGTTGAGCTTCTTCCATCTTTGTGAAGAAAAATATCATTAAAATATCGTTATAATTCGTAAAAGAAAATATGAAATATGAGAATTTCGTATTATTGCTATCATACTATGGATGAACTATTACTGTAGACAATCTATGATCATATAATTAGTATTTTGCATTTTAAACATTATAGTTTAATCCAAACTATTTGTTTTGAAAAAAATAATTAGATCTTGTGGTAAAAAGATCCCTACTTCTATTAGAAGAGAGATTTTTTTTTCATTGTACCAAAAATACAACAAGTATACTAAGTGTCACAAAACAATTGGTTGGATCCTTGAAATAAAAAACTTTCAACTAATTGTGTTGAGAGACCGAGCTATGTTCCCGGTAAAGTATCAAGTCATATTAAAATATTAAAGTATTTGTGTTTTCTAAAAATGTCATATGAATTAGTTGGAAAACACTACCAAATTTTTTTTTTATGACACTTAGTATTATTTATTTGTAAATGAAATGTCTTAGGTTCGATTATCGCTATAGGTAAATTTGAACCATATTATTACTAGCTCATTGTAAGATTTAGTCCACCTAAATAATATCGTTTGTTCAAGAAAAAAAAGAGAAATTTTATTAAAACCCATTCAACCTCCTTTTACACCCAATTATAAAAATATTTTATTTAAATTCCTAATTCACCCTTGTATAAAATTGAAAAATAAAAAACAAAATCAAAATGTCTTTTTACACCCGTTGTCACTTCCACCTCAAACCCCACCAGAGATCTGCTGGTGATTTTTCAAGGCAACTTTTGCCATCCATGGCAGTCCATTTACCTTCCACAAGCTTTGACATCTAACGCCTTCCATACAACACAAAGGTACCCTTGGTCGTGATTCTCTACGTTGCCGACTCTGTAACACTCGAAAATTGTGTAGGCCCCGATTTGCTTTTGGCATTTGTCGATTGAAGGAAGTGAGCAATAAAGAGGAGGAGGAGGAGAATATAAGATGGAAATAGAGAGAACGGAAAAAAAAAGCCTGAAAAGAGAAGATGCTGACACAAAAGATTCACTCGCCTCAATGAAGAAGATGCCGGAAAGCAGCGGGCGTTGGTGGGGCTGATATGGGTTCATCTCCTTTCAATATATTTTTCTTATCTCACATTAATTTAGGGGTAAAATGAAGGATTTAATGGCAAATATATTTAACTTGGGTATAGAAAGAAGTTTTTAAGGTTCAAATAAAATTTCCCAAAAAAAATCTGATAGAATTGGGTACTTTGAGGTGAAAATAATTAACTCATTAAAAAGTAAATTTTGCGTCCGCAAAAACTGACCCTTTTTCTTCGCGTTTCCAATTATCCGTGGCAGGCATAAACCATAAACCCCAGAAACACTCGGATCCTCCTCCTCCGCTGTCTCTGCGTTTCTATGTGTCTCAACCCAACCGAGAGTTGAACTCTCACTGAGAACTCTCTCCGCTCACACCCTCAAAAACCTAAGGAGACGAACTACTATTCCTCTTTACCCTTCCCATGGCATCTGACGCTTCTGCTGCCCTTGCAGGTTCTTTCTCCAACTCTTATCACTCACCAGTCACCCTTTTTCCTTGAATACCATCTGGTATCTGAGGCAAAAAGTTCACTAATTTATGATTGCCCATGATTTTCAATTCATATATATGTGTATATATTGTTGTATAATTCCATTTTCTTTCGAATTAGTCTCATTTGTAAATTTCAAGTTTGCCCCTTTACTCTTACGTAAAAAATAGAAAAGTAATTCTTTGATAAAGTTCAACAATTTCTCAATGCTGCTGTTACTGGGAATCTTGATCTCTTAAAGAGCGAGTAAAAATGCTCTGTCTTTCTTGTGACGAATTGGGTTATTTTTGCTTGTTTCAGTTTGCTGTGGTTGTAATTGAATTGTTCAACAATTTCTCAATGATTTTTTAATTTTTTTCTTGGGGTTTTGTTTCGGGTAGATTTGGCCCGGCAGCTTGATGAAGGGAAGGATTTGGCGAAAACTGTGGCTGATATTAAGGATGCCAACAAGCGAGGGGCCCTTCATTTCGCGGCTAGAGAGGGCAAGTAGTGTGCAAGTACTTGCTGGAGGAACTGAAACTTAGATGTTGATACAAAGGACGAAGACGGTCTGTGCTTCTTGTTATAAATCGTGTGTTTTTGTTCAACGAGACTAGAATGCGACTTTAGAATCTCTGTCAGTAATATAGAGAACTTAAGTCTAGCTAGAGTTTTACATTTATTGATATATCATAGATTCACAAGTCTTGTCTTTAAATATTGTTACTGCTTTACAGGTGAGACTGCTCTTGTTCATGCTGCCCCGGCAATGCCATACCGATACTGCAAAATACCTTCTTGATTCTGGTGCCAGTCTTGGTACAGCTAGTGAATTGGGAGCCGCAGCTCTTCATCATGCTGCTGGATTAGGTGAGTTTTTGAAAACTCATTTTTGGTTTTGTAAACTTTTACTGTGCGTGACATTGGATGAGGATGTTAAGCTCTCAGTAGCATTTCAAATTGCACCCGCATTTATGGCTCAATCAAATTGTATGAATTATATAATGGTTTGTGCTTGTACAACAGGAGACATTGAGTTGCTGAGGTATTTGATTTCCAAAGGTGCTGATGTTAATTCACAAAGTGACGCTGGAAGTCCTTTGATATGGGCTGCTGGTCATGGACAACAAGATGCCACGAAAATTTTGTTCGAACACCATGCTAATGTAAGCTTTTATGAAGATGCTTGTTTTGCTTATTTGCTTGGTAGTTCTGCAGAGAGGGTTCCTTTGAGCATCGTCCTTTCCTGGTTGGGGATGTTGTCCTTCCCATTTCTCTTTCCTACATAGATAGGCACGGATTGTGCAGTTTCCTACCTTTGTCTTGCAGACTAGGTATTTTGGCTTTAAAGGCTTTCCTGAGCTTGCAAGCCTTCGGTGAAGATAGCAGCAACTCGCCTATGTTTGCTGTTACCACTTTCAGGCTTTTAGGGCCTCTCTTTGTTCTAGTTTTGTCATATAAACAATAGGACACTCGTTTTATGCAGCATTTCTTGTCTACAACTCTCTTTTGTGTAGGATTTGTTCACCTTCAGTTTTAATATTTGGTTCACTAATTCTGATAAAGCGTTCCTTGATAATTATATTAGAACAAAGGGTTTTCTTTATCTCACTGAAATATGTGGTGAGATTTGATTATATTATTTCATTGTGTGGTTATTTTTGTTTTGCAGCCAAATGCTGAAAATGATGACAGTATTACTCCTTTGTTGTCATCTGTTGCGGTTGGTATTTCCTATATGACTTATATGACGCGGGAATGTGAGACCCTCTGCCTTCTATGGTCATCATCCTCATCCTCCTCCATTACGAAAGCCTCATCTCCATCTCCACCTTTCTCGAGATTGACCAATTCTTCCTGTTATGCCAACAATCTTTTCTGTTGCTCCTCAAACTGTTTATACACTCTCTTGAAGAAGTCATTGTAAGAACTCAAGATTTGAAAACGATAAAGAAGGATTATGCGCTAAAAAGAAGGATTGAGTTTGGTGTGAGGATAAATGTAGGGATGCAGGGTTTATATGGACAAAAAAATAAAGAATGGGGTTCTAGACAATGTCACGTGGCATTACGTGATTGATTGAAAATTTTATCGAAATCTTAGTTAAATTATTGTAAACATGAAGTGACACGTGGCGCTCGGGATTGGTTGAAAATATTATCGGAAATCTATCCACAAAATAGTACATTCAGATAATGACACGTGATGTGACTAGATTGGTTGAAAATCTTATCGTAATATTGGCTAAATTATAGTAAACAGATAGTGACACGTGACGCGTTATGATTGATTGAAAATCTTAGCGGAAATCTATCCACAAAATAGTACATTCGGATAATGACACGTGGCGTAACAAAATTGGTTGAAAATCTTATCGTAATCTTAGCTAAATTATTGTAAACAGATAGTGATACGTGGCACGTCGGGATTGATTGAAAATCTTAGTGAAAATCTATTTACAAAATAGTACGTTTGGATAATGACACGTGACGTGACGAAATTGGTTAAAAATTCTATTCAAAATTAAAACTATTTTATTTATTTATTCTTTTATAAAAAAATTAAAATATTTAAAATGGACTGGGTACCAGCGCATTTTGTAAGGGTAGAGGTCGTTTATGCCAGCGCATTTTTTTAGGGGTGGAGATGTATTTGGCATTGTTCATTGGAATCTATCAATGTTCACTGAATGAATTAAGTGTTTTTTATAAATAAAATCTTCTAAGAAATAAGATAAAAAATGAATTTACGCCAACACTCTCTTTTAAGTTGCGGCCTAAACTAATGCATAACTTGGGTTTCCATCAATGCAATTCGGGTTTGAAACTCCTTGCTTTCCTCTGGAACGCTTTCCATTCTCTTAATAATAATAAATTTTAAAAAAAATCTTGAAAATAAAACAAATAAAAACCTGAAACCTTGACTGTATACAGAAGGGTACCACTGTTAAGCAAAATTCCAGTTGTATTTCAACAAAAACTACAATATTCTCACTTAAAAAACAGAAAGGCTACAAACAATTAAAATAAACTAAATTTCCGAGCTTTCTCTAACATTTTCGAACTTTCTATCGATCGAGGTCAAAATCTCCCTCCGCCGCCCAAATTTCCCCGATTTCCACCAACATGCCGCTAAAACCACAGTCGAGTTACGGCACCACCACCATCACCGCCGCCCAAATCGACCCCCAAACGACCAAAGACCTCACCTTTACCTCCCGCCCCAAACCCCAGACCTCCTTCCAACCCCTGTACCCCACTATCACCTCCCAATCCGTGTACCCGACGCGCCGCCCATGGCCCGAGCTCTTTTCTCTCACCTCCTTCTCCGTCCCATCCAACTACGCCGACGCCATGGCGCGAATCAAGCTCAACACCGCCTACTTCCGCGTCAACTACACCATGGCGGCGCTCTTCATCGTCTTCCTCAGCCTCCTCTGGCACCCGATCTCCATGATCGTCTTCCTCATCGTCCTCGTCGCCTGGCTCGCCCTCTACTTCTTCCGCACCACCCCCGTCGCTCTGTACAACCAGAGCCTCGACGACAGGGTCGTTGCCATCGCGCTGGGATTGGTCACTGTCGTGGCGCTGGTATTCACTCACGTGGGTTTGAATGTGCTGGTGGCGCTGATCGTCGCCGTCGTGATTATGGGGCTCCACGCGGCGTTTCGAGTCACGGAAGATTTGTTTCTCGACGAGGAGACCGCCGCGGAAAACGGGTTGGCCTCGGTTGTTGCCAGCCAGCAGTCCCTACGCCTGCCGACTTCTTACACCCGGATTTGATTTGAACCCGGTTAAATCGGGTTTCCGGGATAAATTTGGATTTACAGTAGGGGTTTGGATATTTTTTTTCCGAGAAAATGGATTTTTGGGAAATTTTCGGTTTTTGGAGGGCTTTTATGCAAATCGCAGAGGGAAAATGTAGCGATTGCAGTGGGAAAGGTGTTTGGATTTTTTGTTTTTTCTTTGATATCAAATGGTTGGTAGAGTTTCATTACTACTTATGTAACAGTTTATGGTGTATTTTCTAGTGTATGTTCGGAGTATTTTATACTTCGAGAATACTCTGGAGTACCGTAGAATTTTCATTTGAATTGTTGTTTGATCAAAGATAAAATGTTGTGCCGATGTTGTACGGTTCCAGAACTTGAAGGGGTATATTTAGCCTCTCTTACATCGGATGAGAAACCTTAATAAGGACTGGTTTGATACTGAGATGCTTTTATAAAAAGTTGTAACAAAAAAAGCTGAAAACATGAAGCAGCAAAATGAGCTTATTCTTATAATGAGCTTATTCTTATAGCACAGCAGAAACAGTTTTTTTTCAAAACACAGCAATACCAAACCAGCAGTTTTTTTTAAGCAAAACACAGCAATACCAAACTATCCTGATTATAACAGCTTTTGCAGTTAAATTATGATTCTGGCATTTGGACTACCACAACTTTGATTCAAAGTTTTCAAGACAAGTGAAACATTATTTGTGTTCTTGAGTCCTTGATTTAAGCATGTTAGAACTTCGACCATTTGAGCTACAAGTTCATTGCCCAAAAATTGAAAGTTGGTCAAACCTTGGCCACCATATGGAGGGTGATTCAAGAAGCGGGCGAATTACATCAGCCAACAGACCTAACTCACGTCTGCCGAATTTCAAGATTTTACTGCAAAATCTTAATCGATTTTCTGAAATAAAGAAGATGATGAAGACAGAGAGACCATCCAGATGGTAGGAACAAGTTTCTTCATGTATTAAACATATAAGCGAACAATTCCTTCTCATAACAACATTCAACATCGCAATTCGTATCAACAACAAATCATTCAGGATACAGAACTACGGAAACAAGAGTCAAGCTTTTAATCCTCCTCTAGATTGATGGAGTCCTTGAACTTTCCATACAGAATTTTCTTCAACTCGGCCATCTGTGCAAGAATAGATTCCTTCTCTTCTTCAAGTTTCTCTAAACTTTTGCTCGTCGCCTCTTGCATCTCTTCGATCCTGCTCTCCACTTCTTCTTTTGGCACGTGGGCGAAGACTTCACCAATCTGGAACCGGACCACCTCCTCGTCAGTCAGAATCAACTCGTTGCAAGCATCCTCCAGATTATCCTTTGATTCCTGGACGGAAACATTGGATCAAGAAGAAGGCACATCTTACAAAATACCAGGATAACAAATAAATAAATGCGCTGGTCAATAGAAATGACGTTCAAGTCCAACTGTTAACAGTAAAACCTATGGCTGAGTGTTGAGAGCCAACCTGATACAAATTCTTAAAAAAAAATTTACACGTTAAAAGTTTAAGAGGAGAAAGGCAATATCCAAAAACAATCAATGTCGCAAAGTGATGACCGACTACTCAATGGACTAGAGATCTACAATAAGACTCCCAAGGAAAATAGAAAAAGTACACCAAGTTCACAAGACTCGGGGCAATGGAACAGTCAGGTATATGCCTTTATCCTCCCATGGAAAATCAATCGTGCCAAAGTAAACTTTGACATAAAGAAACACGCAAAATTATCATAACACAAAATCCCGGCATGGAGGCTTACTGAAGAAAGTTGATGAATAGTAAGTTGGCACATATCAGGAACCCTATTCCACGCTGACCAACAAGTTTTTTCATGTTAAACCACCCACTAAAACCATAGAATCATATGCAATTCCACTATCAACCTTCTTCGAGGCGACTTTCTGAACTTACTGCCGGTTGTACAACATAAAATTGGTTGCTTTCAAGGTAGTTTAAGAAATCATTTGATAAACCAATCCTGCAAAACCTAGAAGACTAACGAACAAATCAATCCGTCTTTAGCTTAGCAGCAGTGAGGCAATCGGTACCATCTCTTTTCTTTTCGTTTTAATCAATAAACAGCCAGTTAGCTTCTCTCTTCACTGTTTAGCACTTTCAGATTGCAATCGCCCTCTCTTCCCGCACCCTTAATTCAAAACACGGTACAAGTTCTATATACCGTCGACATGAATCCATTTAAACAAGTGCCATTCTGATTTTATTAGATTCAAGACACAAACAGAATATGCATTCTACAAATTTTGGCAATCACATCAAGTATAGGAACAAAAGACTTGATCTTTAAACAAAAATAAGAAGAAAAAAACTAAGCAACCCCAAACCCATGAAATTTGAGCCAAAATCACAACTTGGTTGGACGAATTTTCGAACCCCATCTCAAGAAATGCAACAAATCAAAACAAAATCCCATTAAATATAAAACAAAATAAAAAAGCCAAAAATTAATTACCTTGGCAAATTTGATCTCGTCCTCGAGCTCGTGAAACCGGTTATTCAATCTGCCAAATTTGTTGATGTTCTGCTGGTCCTCCCATGTCACCTCCGTCTCAGATCCTCCACCCTTTTGCCCCAATACAAAAAACTCATAAGTAAAATAATATAAATTACGAAACTTTTTGCACGGAAAATTGAAGTAATTAAGTACAGAGAAATTAATTTTTCGAATTAAATATTAGGGTTCGAATTCACCTGCTGCATATTTGATTCAAAGCGTTGAACGAACACGAAGAAGAAGCTCAGTGAACGGTGAAGAGTAAAGTCAGTCAAGAACTCAAACGGGTACTGTGGGCATTTCCGTACTTATACCTGATTAGTAAACGAATTGGGCTGTTAACAACACAACTACAGTTGTGGGCCTTCCAAGTAAAAAGAGGAAATATAATTTGGGACTTTTAGTGATGAATTGACAATTTACATATATCGTTCTACAACACTTATCATGTGATTTTCCGTAACGAATTATTTTCCTCTAAATATCGCATCAATGTTTATTTACAAACACTCATTATGTGTCTTAATGTGTCTTAATCCAAATATAACTTCAATATTTCTTCTTAGAACACTCATTAAACGACTTACGTGATAAAAAAGTTTTTTCTCCAAATTTCTTCTCAAATCTTCCTGCAACGCCTATCCCATGACCTCGTGTATTGAAAGAGTTGTTCCCCAAATATAGCCCAAATGCCCATCTCTTTAATACTCTTTTTGTAGTTTGACCAGTGAAGTTTTTATATAACACTTATCACGTGACCTGATAGTTCTAACTTTAGAGTGATCTTTTTCTTAGGCCTCATTTGAGCAAACTATGTTAGAGCTTTAAGAAGCCCATTCCAATGCCAATGCATGACCTAATTAGGAACGAGATCCTCCTTAAATCTCTCCCTCCAAAGCTCAGAGATCAAGTGATCCGGACCTTTAAAATTTGATCCAATGGTTAAAAACAGAGAGGTTAGTAAAAACTTTTAAATGTTATAATAATTTTTAACCGTTGAATCAAATTTTAAAGGTTCGAATCATTTGATTAACTCCTAGGCTTTGAAGGGAGAGATCCAGAGAGGATCTCTTTTCACTTAATCTGGTGGGCAATAAAACAAGACCCTAGAATTCAGGGTTTGACCTGAAGAACTGCATCCAATTAGAAAACAAGTGGTAACAAAAATGCCACCAGTAAAATAATCACATAAAACTCTGTATAACATCATCTAATTTTAGCCATTCTTGCAAATTTACCACCTTCTGTTTCTGGAAAGAGTTCTCCACTTCATGACCTAATTTTGCCTCAAAATTGCATGCATGCTAGCAAAAACTCATGGCAGCTGCACATCAGACTACCCATCTAGTGACTGTTAATCTTTTCTTTTATCTTGTAGTTTCTTCTTCATCAGCAAACAATGTAAATGGTGGCGGATTCAGCGTCGAACTCATTCGCCGAAACTCACCAAATTCACCATTCTACAATCATAATACATCTCGTCCAAAGAGCTTAAGCAATCGTTTTCGACATCTTTTGGAGCCGTCCAATCCAAACATACCGCAATCAGAAGTGAGACGCGACTTTGATGGCGAGCATCTCATGAAGTTTTCAATCGGAACTCCACCTGTGGATATTTATGGGGTTGCAGACACAGGCAGCACATTAATATGGACGCAATGTGAGCCGTGTATTGATTGCTACAAGCAGAAAAATCCCAAGTTCGACCCGAGAAAATCGTCAACGTATAGGAACGTTTCATGTGATGCACAAGAATGTAATTTACTCATAGATTCTGGCCCTAACTCTTGCTCATCATCTTCTGATCATCGTCAAGAGCTCTGCAATTACAATTACAGTTACGTAGACGGTGCAACTACCATTGGATTACTTGCGAAAGAAACAATCACGTTGAAGGCCGCATCCGGGAAACCGATTCCCTTACAAAATATTGTGTTTGGTTGTGGACATAATAATACAGGAGAAACGTTTCAGGAGAACCAAATGGGAGTAGTAGGGCTTGGAATCGGAAACATGTCGTTTATTTCCCAAATTTCCCCTGCAGTTGGAGGCAAAAAGTTCTCCTACTGTTTGGTTCCATCCCATGCAAATCCCACGTCCACAAGCAAGATGAGTTTCGGGAATGGGAGTGAGGTTTTGGGTGAAGGGGTGGTCTCAACGCGGTTGATCTCCGAGCTTGACAATAACGCTTATCGCGTCACGCTCGAAGGCATGAGCGTTGGAGACAAGTTTGTGCCTTTCAATTCATCCGGTAATGGGGCTTCGCCAGGGAATACTATTCTCGATTCCGGAACACCAAACACGTACTTGCCTCAACAATTTTATGATCCTTTGGTGGCGGAGTTGAAGAAGCAGATTGCGATGAGCCCCAGTGAAATAATGGACCCAACTTTTGGGACACTTGTTTGTTACAACAACAAGAACATTTTCAAAGGGAAAAAAATTACCGTGCATTTTGAAGGTGGTGCTAAGTTGCAGTTGACACCAAATCAGATCTTTTTCTACCACCAAGAGTTTCAGAATTTCTGTTTTGCAATGCAGAATTCAAGTTATGTCACTCGTGATGATTTTATTGTTTATGGGAATTATGTTCAGTCTAATTTCTGGATTGGTTTCGACCTAGAAAGAATGGTGGTTTCGTTTAAGCCAACTGATTGTACAAATAGTAGTAGCAGTGTTATTGCTACTCCCTTTTCCTTATCCTCCACTTATGTTTTGAATTTTCTCTTATTTGTAATTTTGACCTTCTAGAAAATTAGAAAAAATGGTGTATTGTGAATATTTTCTCTATTTACCTTTTTCAACTAACTTTGTGTATTTCTCCACTCTTTTAACATTTCAAGTGCATGCATGTTAGACAAGTCATATTTAAGTAAGTGCATTGCAATTTAGGCTTTTAATCTTTGAGATTTTCGTAATTCTTCACTTTAGTTTCAGCGATTTAAAATCGATATATAGAATTGATCATTGAGATTGTCCATCATCAATCATTTTAGTCATTTTATCACAAATCTATGTTAAATTGAAGAAACCACCAGTTTAAGTGAAATGATTGATTTGACAAAAATATCCTTAATTTAAAGGAGACTTCTCACGGAATGATCAAAATGATTGACGGTGTACAATCTTAGACCCACTTGTATCGATTTTAAATTTCAAGGATTAAAGTAAGAAACTATGCAAATATCAAAGATCATTTTAGCTAAAAAGCCTACAACTTATGGATCGATGAAATTCTTAAAAATAGACACAAATTAACACGCACGTGTTTGAAATCCATCGCAGATGTATCAGAAATTCATACAAATGAAATCATAAACGTGTTCAAAGTTTTAAGTTTTTGTAAATTTTGTTTAATATTTTAGTGCACAGATTAAAGTTTTAAGTTCAAATAGAATTTTTCCATATGGCATAAGACCTGGAGAAGTCAAAAGTTTGAAAACCCAAAAAATGAGGTTCAAGCTTTGACCAGGGTCGACAGTAACAACAGAACCTAATAAAACAAGTGGCATGGAGCTTTTCACACAAAAACGTGGCCTCTGTGTCCTCTTCCAAATTTTCTAAAATTGAAAATATCACCTCTTTCTAAGATTAGAATAAGAACTCCATGTGTTACTAATGCATTTTTAGCCATTAACACAACCCCTAGGCACCTTCTATTTTAGCACTAATTCCACACCTTCTCTGTTCTCTTACATCTTCTTTCCTGAAATTGCATGTAATATATGGCATCTGCAGATGTAGTGACAATGATTTTGATCATTTATCTAATCCTACGTCATAGTTCAGCTACAGAAGTGATGAATTCTGATGTTAATTATGACGGATTTAGTATCAAATTTATTCGCTAAAACTCTCTAAATTCACCACTTTACAATCAAAATCATAAAATGTCTCAACGTCTTATGGACGAAAGTACCCCACAATCAGAACTAAGGTATGACAAGGAGAGCGGTGAGGGTGCACAACTTATGAAGCTCTCTCTTGGAACTCCACCCTATGAGATTTATGCAGAAGTACGATGTTGTGGACGCAACGTGAGCCGTGTCCGAATTGCGACAAGCAGAAAAATCCCAAGTTTGATCCGAAAAAGTCCTCACCATATGCAACCCTTCCATGTACTGCACAAGAATGTAGTCATACTAATGACACTGGCTACACCTCTTGCTCAAAGGATGATCAAAAGGTCTGCAACTACAATTACACTTACATGGATGATTCAATAACGCAGGGGGTGATGTCAAAAGAGACAATCACATTCGGATCCAGCTCCGGGAAGCCAGTTTCGTTCAAAGATGTTGTGATAGGTTGTGGACACAACAATACTGGGAAAACCTTCGGCGAAAACGAAATGGGGATAGTAGGGGTTGGAGCTGGGAATTTATCGATTATTTCTCAACTTGCTCCTTACGTTGGAGGCAAGAAATTCTCACATTGTCTCGTGCCCTTTGATCCGGATCATCCCAATGATGCAAGCATCATGAGTTTCGGAAAGGGAAGTGAGGTTTCGGGTGAAGGTGTAGTATCGACTCCATTAATCACCAAACATGGCAAAAACCAATATTTTTTCACGGTTGAAGGAATCAGCGTCGGAGAACAGTTTGTGCCATTTAACTCATCAGGTTCGGTTTCAAAGGGGAACATGTATCTCGACTCGGGTACACAAGTGACAATGCTGCCACAAGATTTTTACGGCAGATTGGTAGAACAAGTAAAGAAGACGATGAATTCGTCAGTAAAACCAGTCGAAGTAAATGACGAGTCTGGAACTTTGCTGTGCTACAACACCACGGAGAATCTCAAAGCACCATGATTCATGGTTCATTCGAAGGCGGTGCTAAATTGCAGCTGTCACTGGCACAAACTTTCTATCAAAACAAACAACATAAACTACACTGCTTTGGAACGCTTAACTCGAGTCATACCATAGGTGAAGGAATTGGTCTCTTTGGAAGCTATGCTCAGTCAAATTTTTTGATCGGTTTTGATCTTGAAAAGATGTTGGTTTCCTTCAAGGCAGCTGATTGCAGAAAAACTAGCAGTACTAATAGTTCTAGCTAGTCCTAATAGTGCTTTTGCTATTCATATTTCTTATTTCTTCAACCAAGTTTTCAGTTTTATTTTGATTGTAATTTTGAGAATTAATTAGTTGAAGGAGCATATAAGCATTTCTTTTCCAAATTTTTATGATTATTGCTAAAACGTACTTGAACTAGCATCCTAAGTCAGCCTTCCAGCCTCCTGGGTGTTGGAGACCAAAAAAGGCATCCCATGACGAAGAAACATTTCACCTTTACAGATATAATGTTTCAAGAAAAATATTAAGTCGCAACTTAATGTACCAACCAAAAATATAAGACGTACAACAGCAAAACCAAAATATAACTAGTTTTTTGTGCTTTTTAATAACGAGACCGGGCTGAGTTGAACTTCGAAGCTCTCCCAATATTTGGAAGGAAAATAAAAAACTACAAAAGCTTGATTGAATAAAGGCTTGCAGATGTACTCCATAAATTCTTTTTTTTACTCGCCCTTATGGATCTCCAATCGAGAAACTACAAGCTCCGCGGCTAGTCTCTGCTCTTTGGAATATAGTAGGGTGGTCGGCTTTTTCGTTCTTGAAGAGGTAGAACATCCTATATCTTGTGACATATGAAACGTGGTATTTACTTTTATAAAGTTTGTATAACTTCTAAAAAAAAATTAATTCTTATGAATAAAGTGAAGGAAAAATTTTGTCCTAACTAAGAACAAGTAAGAACATTTGAATACATATGCAAACTATTAACACTTTAAAGTAGGCATGCATTAAAAAACAATTCATAAAACTCATGACTTTCAAAGCCTAGTATATGGTGAACCAATAAACTCTTTAACAACATTAAAGAGAAGTAAAGATTTAGAGTTTCTTTACCCTTGAAGCTCATCCTTGTTTACACAAGGGATTCACCCAAGTGGAGGGCCTTCAAGTCACCTCCAAGCTCCTTGGATATTGCTTGTGATTTCCTTCTCCTTTTGTGCTCCTTTGGTCCTTGAGGATGTAAGGAAAGGATCTCCAAAAACACCAAAGATTTGGTGTCTCTAAGTCTCCACACCAAGGGTTAAGTGTGAAGATGAAATGGATGACTTAGAGAAGAAAAGATTGCTAGATTAATCTCTCTAAGTGGCCGGCCTCTTTAGAGAAAATGAGATAAAGTGTTTCACCTCATTTCACCAAGAAAAACCCTAATGAGAAATAAAGCTATAAAGTTAATTTTATACTTCATTTCAAGTGAGTGGCAAACTTGTAATTAATCCAAGTTTGCTACCCTCACCCTTATGGCCGGCCTTACCTTTGTTATTGGGCTAATTGCCCATTTTGTTTTAGTTGTCATACAACTTAAACATAATGGGCCTTGTGGACCAAAACGCTTTTGAGCCCCGAAGCCCAAAACCAACTTAAAAGCCCAATACGAACCTTTCGTAAAATTAATTAACTAATTAATTAATCTTGACCATTCTTCAATTAAACCATTTAATTGCATATCCATTTCATTTAATTTCTTCACTATCGCCTTTACTCGGTGTACGATCCATTAGGTTCCAATTAGCGAGGTAGTGGGCGATTGTTACTCTTAACGATCGATTGTGAATTGAAACCACATTTCAATTCTCCCTTAATGATTAGTGTTTGCTAATCATTTAGGGCTTCCACAAACCATGAGTGACACCTAGCAGTATGTCATGGTTACCCAAGCTAAGTAGAAGTGGTTGGAGAACCTATCCAGTTACAACTACAATGCAATACGGTCATTCTCTAATACAATACTCTTAATCACATTGTTTAAGCGATAGTTTGTTTCATGTCTACTATCCAATGTGATACTTATCTATATGATTCCCTTGAATATGATTTGGAACATTCTTCCTAAGTCATATTCATATGCTTTGGCCAAAGACTTTAGAATCATATCTTAGAGTATTCTCCTTCCACCATGGAAGGTTAGAGATCCCTTGTTGTGCATTCATATGCCTACATGACTAGATAGCTTGACCCCAACAATGTCGTGGACACTCCGATGGAATGCCGTTGACATGATCAAAGATCAAGGACCTAACCATTAGACATCTATGATGCCTCAGGTCAAATGACTACTTTGCATATTGCAACTTTCGAGTTCTTACATGACATGTATGTTCGAACTCTCTTTTGATCGTTGTTCAGTGTACTCGATTACTCTTTCGAGCACCTATGTGTTTGTCTTAGTGTCCAACACCAAATGACTTGAGACTAGTCATACTCACGCTTGAGTCAACATAACACATACTAACCTTAGCGGATTGTCAATGCCCAATTGGCAATCCTATGGCTAGGAACGTTTTAGGAATGAACATAAGAGAATGGTCTCGATAATCTAACTCACTTAGATCACTTGTCTCTTAGATCAAATACATCCCTAGGATTCTCTTATTGCTTAAACACATGATACAATAAATAGTGATTAACAATAAGCTTTGCCCTTCATTAAACATATAAAAGTTTAATACATTAAGTATTCCAAAAAGCTATTACATCTAATGAGTGGCTTTGTGGGCATACTTCCAACATAAAGTACCATTCAAAGAGTGCATTTTTTACATAAGTAAAGGAGCACGCTACCAAGTCTGTAATTGGTAAGATATAACTTTGTGTAGTATGGCCAAAATAGTTCATGCGTAGTTTTGAACTTTCAATGTTCCTATATCCTCTTTTTCATGCAAAAAATTTACTATTTCCTTTCCTCTTTTCATGCAAGACATCGATAGTGTGTAAGTGGGGAGTCAACTTAGGACCTTGATCGGATGCATGGATAAATTAATGTTCTTAATCACTTAAGTTATGTCCTGTTGTATTTTGTATTCTTAGCCATATTCTCTTACATATGCACTCTTGCACTATTTTCTATCCTCATTCAATTCCTTTTGAAGGGAAAATTTTCAGTGTGTTTGGAACACGGTCTGTTACATCAAATGTTATATTACAAGTGGTTGAAATTTTTTGTTAAGTATCTGACCACTTTATAATGACACTTAGTGTACACGGCCGTGTTCTGGACACACTGAAAAATATCTCAAGTGCAATTTCTATGCCACATAGGACTAAGATTAGATCTTATTGGTTTTATCAAGTGGTGGTGATGGCAGAAGACCCAGTAATATTCCAAGCCAGGAGCCAAGTATTTACTCATGTAAAATGTAATTAATATGGATATTATTATTACTGTGATATTAAGAAAAAAAAAATTGATTACCAAAAAAAGAACTTGAAACCAAAGAAATGAGGTTCTTGCGCATGCATGGTTTGACCAGAAAAGCGTGGCCTGAAAACCTCTCCCATGCAAATTTTCTAAGAACAAGCATTGGCAGCTACTTTCTTATTAAAAAATTTAAACCCATCTTAATTTGCAGTACTTTTCTTCTTCAATCTAAATCCCTTTCCTAATCTCTCTTATGGCAGCTGCAGGCACTACTACTTTATACAATCATATGATTTTGATCACTTTTCTAATTTATCTATGCCATAATTCAGCTACATCTAGAGTAGCAGCATGCAGTGGTATTAGTACTAATGGCGGGTTTAGCGTACCACTTACTCGCCGAAACTCCCCAAATTCGTCATTATACAATCGTAACAAAGTTTTTCGGCGTCTCATGGGGCCATCCGGTGACCAAAACACCCCACAATCAGAAGTAACACGGGACACCATAGACGGTGAGGGTGCACACGTTATGAAACTCTCAATTGGAACTCCGCCATTTGATATTTACACCGTGGCTGATACTGGCAGCTCGCTCATATGGACGCAATGCGAGCCGTGCCCAGGATGCTACAAGCAGAAAAAACCCATGTTCGACCCGCGGAAATCCTCCACGTATCATATCATCCCATGTTATGCGCCAGAATATAATGCTACAATTGATGATTTCTCGTGCTCAAGAAGTGGTGATCAAAATGTTTGCAGTTACAATTACGTTTACATGGACCAGTCGAAGACACAAGGAGTAGTCGCAAAAGACACGATTACGTTGGAGTCCGGATCAGGGAAGCCGGTTTCGTTCAAAGAGGTTGTGTTTGGTTGTGGACATAACAACACCGGGGAGAATTTTTCTGAAAATCTTATGGGAATGGTAGGGCTTGGCCTTGGGAACACATCACTTGTTTCTCAAATCGCTCCCTACGTCGGAGGCAGAAAGTTCTCCCATTGTCTCGTGCCATTCGATCCTGATCACCCGAATGCTGCAGGCACGTTGAGCTTTGGGAACGGAAGTGAGGTTACTGGTGAAGGAGCGGTTTCGACGCCTTTGATCATTAAAGATCAAAACGACAGGTACGCGTACCAATATCATGTGACAGTTGAAGGAATCAGTGTTGGAACCACATTTGTGCCTTTTGACTCATCGGGGTCGGTTTCGAAAGGGAACATGTTTCTTGACTCTGGAACACAAGTGACAGTGCTACCACAGGATTTCTATGGCCAATTGATGGAACAAGTAAAGAAGGCAGTTGATCTGAAACCGGTTCTAGTGGGTGACCCGAAAAACGGAACTCGGTTTTGCTACAATACAAGCACGTTGGATCATCTCAAAGGAGCGACATTGACAGTGCATTTTGAAGGCGGTGGTAAAGTGAAATTAACACCGGAACAAGCCTTCTTCCATACCGAAGATGATGGATATAAGCTGTTGTGTTCTATGTTGATGAATGCCACCGAAGTTGCAAGTGAAGACGTTAATGTTGCTATTTATGGAAGCAACGCTCAGTCGAATTTCTGGGTCGGTTTCGACCTTGAAAGAATGATGGTCTCCTTCAAGCCAACCGATTGCAGGAGTGGTGGCGATGGAAAGAGTACTGGCGATGGAAAGAGTAGTTCTACTGTCATTCACTTTTCCTATTTTTACACTTGCCTTTTTAATTTTCTTTTAATTTTCATTTTCTCATTGTAGAAAATCGTTCAAAAGAAGGAAAATAATTTCCACACGCTCTTTTCATGATCTACACCACATTGATTCTCTTTTTGACTTATTTAATCCAAAAATTAGAAATAAACAGGAAGTGTGCACCTGGAAAAACAAGATGAGCGGAAATTACTTCCTGAAAGAATATGAATATGAAAAAAAAAACAAAGAATTTAATATATAGAACGAACATATGATCTAGCAGATAAACTTAGTTAAAATACCAGTAAAATCTGACAACAGGTACTATACATATTGAACTGGTAAACGAGGAAGACAACATGAGATGAAAATTTTAATTGTTCTTTCAGAGATTTCGAACCCTAGGATCAACAACAAAAGAGAAACTTTCATTGTTTTACCAAGAAAACGAAAGTTTTATTGGTTCTTTCAGGGATTTTGAACCCTACGACAATAATTGAGGACCATCACAAAATCTTTAGCCGAGGAGCCAACTGTTGCCGGTACCTTTTTCGTTGTTGGTGCTGTTCGGCACCACATCTCAACTAGGGTTTCTAGATGGCATGTTGGAAGCACCGGCTGACCCCGACACAGTATCTCTACCTACAAGGAAAAAGGTTAAAACTTGAAGGCTTGAAGCGTAAGTGGAAATGAAATCACGCCCTATTGCTTCTTTTATTGAAAATTAAGAGAAATATTCGTTTCAAAATGCATGCAATAAACATCAAAGTGTTCCGATGCATCGCGTAGAAAAATGCTATGGCACTTAACTCATAGCATCCATGTCAGGGAAAATGCTGGCTTTGTGTTTAACAGGAAACAGAAGAGAGCTCAGGTTGCGGTGTCAAACTATGGTTTGATATATCGAAAGCGAAAATGAATTTCTAGGTATTCATGAGCAGCCATAGTAATGTCAAAAGTTCGAAATCTTCTCAGCTTTGTAGGAAGACAATAAAAATATACTCACCTCATTTTCACTGCTAAGTTCAAGTTTCATTGCAAGGTACTTCTGGATTATTGATACGGGCATTTTACCATCCCTGCAAATTAAAGAAAAAGAAGAGTCAATACAAGTAAGTCCCAATTTTTTTTATTATTACGAAACCAGAAGTAATAACAAGTACGAACCACGCTGTAATAACAAGCTAGATAACTGCAGGAATCCAGAATAACAAGTATGAACCACTCAAAAATAGAAATATTGCAAGATTTAATACTTGTGTCAACCAAAACCATATTTTATCATGGATCGATGAAGATTTATTGAAATAAGTTCTCAAATACTTCTTAAATCTAAATCTTGAACCAGTTAGTTATTGTCCTCACCAACAGGAAAGTATCATGAAGTATTTTCAATCTCGCTTCACAATCGTGATTCTTTTAAATTCACAAATTGGAATGGATTTGGAAAGACTTGGGGAAAATATGTGGTTCAAATATATATTTGGGAAGGGCAGTTGACTGACTCAACACTGTTCTGTTTACATTGGTGTATACCATTCTTACCCGATGATGATATATTTAAATCATGTGACAAGTTTACACACGGTAAAAGATTAAGAAATTGTAACCTAGAACCCTAAAAAAATCATAGACAGACACACACAAAGCTGAACACACATTTTGGTACTCGTTGCTCTATCCTATACATGTTTCAGATGATTAAATCACTAAGATATGACAACGGATCAGTGTAAAACAACGTTACCATAACATCAAGGGAAGTAAAAGGAATACAGAAACTAACTTTATTTTCAAGCAACATGCTGATATCTGTGGCAATGAAATTTCTCCTTTCCTGAAGAAATTTACCATCAAAATCAGGGATCGGCATGAAAGAATCAAAATTGAGCTCCCAAAATATAAAAAACCATATGAATTTTATAATCAATTGAACATCTCACCAGTCTTCAGATGCTACCAAGGAGAACCAAACAGGAACATTTCTATACTTAGCCCCACATATATCCAGCATAGGTTGAGTTGAGGCACTTGCTTCCCCAGATGCTGCTACCCTCTTCTGATTAGCTGCGCGCACCCTTTTACGTTTCACCGGTCCTGATGCCCCTGCTCCGTTACTATTATTTTTTCCTCTTGCATTCTGGTTGGCCTCCTTTTTTTTGGTTTTGGGCGTATATGCATTCCTGATGCAGTCCAGAGCATTTGGTGATTCTCCTTCAGCCTTATTTTGAGACATATAAAGTTCATTATCAATGGAATTGATTGGATCTGACGTGGCATGCAACCCTTGTGAATTTGACTTTGAGGACTTGGTTCGATTAGCAGCCTCTACAAGACAGTTTAAGGGCGTCCACAGGTCAGCTTTCCCTTCTGTTATTTCAACGTCACTGTTCATAACTTTGTTAGGATTTTGCTCATATGAATGCTCAAGCAAATCCTGCATAAATGAATAAACATGCAAAAATATATATCGTTAACAGGTTTCAAATGTAATCAGGTCCCCCAAAACCATTTATACTACCAGACAACAAATTGCTTCAGACACTACTTCACATTGTATGTATGTTGCCTCATTGGTCGGAACAATTGTAGTTCATTACTCATGTTGTGACTGTAGGCCATGGATCACCATCTCACATCATCTACCTTAACTGTGCAGGTGTCTCATCATTCTATGGTGTTTTTTACTTTTTCTTATTTCTATTAAACAACAGTGTCAAATCCACTCCAACATTGCTATCATGTAAAGATGTTGTGAATATATCAATAAAGTAAAATTCAAGGTGCAATAAGTTAGGGGGAACATGAAGCAAAACCCTAAAACAGTGTCGGAAAGCCAATTAGAAACAGAGAATGGAAATGGGAGAGTGGGAAAAGAGGACCCCTGCTCAAACCAACAGCGAAAGTCAAATCTAGAGGATGAGAAATCACTTGAAACAACTCCTAAAAGAAGTGAACGTTTGGGCCCCAAAAGATCATGACCAAAAACTGCACCAACACACAGAGGACAAGAATCCCACCAACAAACCCTAGTATGATCAACACCAAAGTTTGATAAGCAATCAGCTACCTGACTACCTTCCAATTAATATGAGAAACCCAAATCCGCATGGAAGACAGAATGATGCAACAGTTAGATAAACCAACTGATAAATGCAAAGGCACCTGGCAAGATCTTCGGTGTTTTTTTTACTTGAAAAAGGTTGAGCGTGATCATTTTCATTCAAGCTTGAGAGAGAATGTTGAAGAATAAAGTAACTAAAACCAGCTAGAAAATCTTATTTCCTAGCATAAAAGAATATTGGTTTTCCTTTCTTTTTACAGGGTTTCCTAGTTCGTGTACGAGTGTGACCTGATTTCCGAAGTGAATTACTTGTGTTAGAGTTATGATGGATGTATAGTATTTTCTAACTATTGTCTCAACATTAAGCATTGGACTTGTTTGGTTTTGCAATAAAACTAAACATAAATGCTATTGTTTCGTGCAAATAACCAAAATCCTGCCCCCCTTTACCTGGCTCTTATTTCGTGCGAATTCAACAAGATTACCAGTTGAGTTAGAGCTCATTGGATGGTCTTCTGTAGAATCATCCTTCTTCGCAGGTTCTTCAGCAGAAAAACTGCATCCTCGTAAAGCAGCACCCTTTCTTGACAAAGCTCTTGACCTCTTTCCAGTCATACCTGACTGCACTGGAACTTTGGGGGCACTGACTACCAATGAAGATAATGATCTCTCCTTCCTTTTCACTGGCAACGAAGATGGCGTAACATCAGGATCATTAGCTTCGGGCTTGTTAGCTTCAGGTGTATCAACTTTCTTTCCTTTAACGGGAAATATCTTGGCTATAATATCGTGCAAATTATGGTCTGGCCTGCAGATCATCAAACGACATCCTAAGCATGTGTGAAACATTTTAACGTAAAGCTCCAGCGCACATTTACGATGTTGTGATTGGAAATTTAGTACAACAAAAAAAACTATTGACTTGTATAAAATCACATGACAGCGTGCAAGTAGGCACCCTAATCACAGATATTGGTATCTCGATAAAGCATTAATCATGAGTTAAAAAAAAAAATCAGCCTTCTGGAAAGTTTCAAATTATTCTGATGATTGATAAAACATCAACTTTCTAAGCAAAACCACAGTTACGTCGTTAATTTTTTTAGAACCATTTACCAAATCTACTTTCTTTCCCTATTGCTAAACGATAATAAACAAGCGTCGATTTAATATCTCCCCTATGGTAGGTTGGGAAGCAGGGCAATGCGACTAACACTACATATGTATAGGAGTCCACTAACTTCACTTCTATAAGTTACCAGCAACACCATGCATTTACCTAAAACCGGCTAACCAATATGTGAAATTGTAATTCAGGGGAAGATGAAGCATCATCGGTTCAGAACATAGGTACATTTACCTGAGTTTTTCGACAGGTAAAATTCCGAGATCAATTTCACAGACGGGACAGCAGTCCCCCTCCTCATCAGATAACTTTTCGTAAATGCACACCCTGCAAACTGGTTTCGAATTCAACATTTTACAAAAGTAAGCATTGAATTACCGAAATAATCGAGAAAATTCAACGAAAACAAAACCTTCTTATTCAGTTCTATGGAAAGGCATGGCGATAGAAGCAAATTAAACAAAAATTCAAGGAATGACACGAAAATTTCACGACGTGCTCAGGTGTTGATCAACACAAACAAGAAAATCACACATTTTAGTGTCCAAATTGCAGAAAAATCGAAAATTTGCAACCAAAACACAAATTATGCAGAAATGGAAAAACAAGAACAGACCCAGATCATAAAATTAGCAGAAAATTATGAAACAATTAAGGGAAGAGGAGATTAAAAAGGAAACTCACACGTGTGGAGGCAGAGTGAAATAGTTGTAGCCTCCTTCAACAGCTTATTACAAAGAGGGCACGTCATGCATGCCTCCAGTTTCTCCCTCTTAACTTTCACCACCTGACCACCACCATCACCAGCCGCCATCTCTTCCTCCACCTCCTCAGTCCTTATAATCTCCGAACCTCTGTGTCTACGCTCCCCTCCCCCACCCCCCCAAACCACATTCAACGCCCGACCCGACAGAGACGCAGTGGTTTTCGTATGATTATGTGAGGAAACTAAGGAAAGGGTGGGGCTTTGTCTTGGGTTTCATCGGACGTGTCGGATGGTTGGAGGTGTCGGATCTGAGGTGAGTGAAGAAAGTGGCGGGCTTTTGGGGCGAAATTGAGAGAAGGGTTGTGATTGCTTGCGGGAAAAACACGTTCGGTTTGTTGGGGATTTTTGGACAAAGTCGAGCTTCGATGAAAAAACATGAGTGAGAGAGAGAGAGAGAGTGTGTGTGTGTCTGTGATCTGTGAGAGGACAGAGAGAGTTTTGCCTGTGATTTTGGTTTTACCAACTCTCTTGTATACACGTTACACGTAGCAGTGAGTAGGCCCTGCACCCAATAGGTCTAGGTTCAAACATTTTCTTCTAGGATAAGGTGGTTTTTTTTGTTTTTTTGGGAAAATGACGGATTTGTTGCCATTTTAGGTGGCATGCTTATCCAACATATAATGGTGACTCTGTTCTTTGTTACAGTAATACCATGTGATTTGTTAATCTTTTGAATCGTTTTACGTTGGAGTCGTTTTAATAAGTTTTTAACGTTCTGAATTATTTTAAATTAGCGACGATATAATAATTGTTTAATGTTGTTAAACATTTTTTATTGCATGCTTATTCAAAGAAGAAGTTTATTTCCGCAAACAAAAGTGACTCTATTCATTATAACATGCTAATTTTGTGTGAATCGTTTTAACGATAAGGTATTAAGGTGGCATTGGCATTGCCATTTCCGTTGGTGCTGCACTGATCAACACTCCTCACTGTTGCTTGAGCTCCAGTCCCGGCGCTTGTCACCTACACACACACACACACACACACACACACACATATATATATATATATATATATATATATATATATACATACAGATGCATACATACATTACCTAAGATTGTATAATACCGCCCACAAGTCGTAGTTGTTTTGCTGTGGATTATTAGGAAATTAAACTTGTCGCTCTCACATTCGTCCCACTTTGTCCCCATGCACTGCCCGCCATGGCCAAAACACAGATCATCGTCTGAACTTCCCGGCCATTTTGTGAATAGATTATCAAGGAATTGCTATATATAGCCTTGAATACGTTGGAAATGTAAGATGACTTTGAAGATAAGGTCAGGGAAGGCTTTTCAACCCTGTTGAATGTTGGTGATGCAGTGAGATTTATAAGAAAGAGAAATCGAACGATATTCCAAAGTTAGAATCCACAAGGAAATTGAGTAAATTCAAGTTTATTGAATAATAGTCGAAAAAGATGACAATTCTAACACCCAAGAGGTGTTTTTATACATCCAAAACATAAAACCAAACCCATAACAAAAAGTTAAGGAGAAAACAAAATAAACAATTAACAAACTGCCAAAGTTATCCCTATGTCAAAAGCAAATCTACCTACGCACCGTTCTTTTGAAAATGACATATTATAACCCTAATTCCGACGCCAAAACCCTAATTTGCAATCCTTGGATCATGTTGCCTGCTTTGCACTTCTTGAGCTACTCTTCAATCCAGTCATCCATCTGTTCATCAATCGGACTAATTACTTTTAGCAAAAAAGTGCTTAATCTAGAAGCCATAAAAGCTAAGATAAGGCACACATAATTAATCAAAACCCAACCCCTGTTTACTAGCAACTTATTTTGAGAGGTCATTGGATGCGCAGGAGCTCACTGGATAATCTTCTGTAGAATCATCTATTTCCAGAGGTTCTTCAGCAGAAAAACGGCATCCTCCTAATGATGAAGGTGTAACATCAGGATTATTAGCTTCGTGCTCCCTAACTTCCGGTGCATCGATTTCTTCCTTTTAACGGGAAATATATCTTGGCTGTAATATTTTGCAAAATATGGTCTGGACTGCAGATCATTTAGATGACATCTTAATTAAAGCTCCCGCACAGATTTACAACTTTATGATCGAAAAACTAGTACAACGAAAAAAACTACGTACTTGCGTAAAGTCATATGACAATGTGCAAGAAGAAACCTTAGTTACAGAAATTTTAAATTTCTTAACAATTTTCAATGCAAAACCACAATTAGGTCATGATTTTTTCCAGAACCATTTTCCAAATCTGTTTCTTTTCCTGTTGCTAATCGATAATAAACAAGCATCGATTTATTATCTTTCCTATGGTACTTTTTTTATTGGAACTTTAATGAAAAACTCTCAGTACTGTTCACTTTATAATGAAAAACCATATTTGTACACTAAAAAGTCAATCATGGTACTATTCACTTAACCATTTATTTTGTCCTGATCGTTAAAACTCAAAGTTTTCAAACTTTTTTTTATTAGTTTTTTTTTTTTTTTTTTTTTTTGCCAAGAATAGAATTATCTTCCCTATGGTACTTAACTTTGGGAAGGAAGGTAATGTGACTATCACTATATACGTATTCGAGTCCACTAATTGCATTTCTATAGGATATTTACTTTCAAAAGGGGTAAAGGTTTATGTCTTCCCTAACTAGATGTAACTACTTTTTTCATATCAATAAATTTCTCTTGTACCTTCATTGTGACAATTATATTTTGCGAGTCATTTTAAGTTCACGTCTTGTAATAATTGTATAATGTTGCGAATCATTTTAAGTTGACGGTGCCGTGATAATTGTTTAACATTGTGAATCGTTTTAAGTTTGCGGCGTTAAGATAAATGTTTAACATTTGAATCATTTTATGTTGGCAGCGCTGCGATAATTCTTTAACAATTTGAATCATTATTGGCAACTGTAATAATTATTTTGTTGGAAAATATTAGTATTTAGGTTTACTTTAATGTTTGGTTTTCTGGGCTTAGCCCGTTAGCATTAGGGTTTAGGGTTAGTTTATTATAAATAGAGTGTTTTGTTATTCATTAGAAATCAAGTCATTCACAATGTAGTCTCTTAGGGTTTTGTAGCCGTTTCGGCATTCTCGTTTGATATCAATAATATTTCTTTTACTTTGTTAGTATTGTTTGTTACGCACTCTGATATTCAACTTGGTATCAGAGCAGGTTTGATCCTTTGGGATTTAATCTGTTCTTGATTAGTGTCAATTTGTTTGTATCAGTTTTGTTTGTCAGTTTACTGGGTATTAGTTTCGTCCGTCGTCTTCCGCTCATCCGTAGTCGAAGCCGTTCTTGTCACCACCACCGCACTGCAATATGTCCAGATAACCCGCACCACCATCTCCGCTGCTACCACCTGTTCACGGTACCCGCACCGACTCCTACCAGTCGGATCTGTCACAACCCAATGAAGTCCCCTTCTGCAAGTTGACTTTGCACTAGAAGTTTTGAAGCTTGCTGCAATTGGTTTTGCAAGCCTTGTTTGCTGCAATCGGTTTCGCCCAGAAGAAAAGAGAAGAAAGAAAGAAATATGGTATATTTGGTTGAATTTTTTGTTTGTTTGTTCGGCATCAGAATCGGCATTGGCATTAGCACTGGAATTTGTTGAATTGCATCCACCCGCTTCTTCAACGTTTGAAGAAGATGCCCGCGAGGATTGGAGTTGGTAGTATGGAAATTGCTTACTCGTTTGTTCGTTCGTTTGTTTGCTCGTTTGTTCGTTCGTTTGTTTGCTCGCTTGTTCGCTTTGTCTTGTCTTGTCCGCCTAATGGAGCTTGCATCCACATCTGCTTGTTTGCAAACTCATGTTGTATACCGCCATGAGTTTGACGGGGGGTGTTGGAAAATATTAGTATTTAGGTTTACTTTAATGTTTGGTTTTCTGGGCTTAGCCCGTTAGCATTAGGGTTTAGGGTTAGTTTATTATAAATAGAGTGTTTTGTTATTCATTAGAAATCAAGTCATTCACAATGTAGTCTCTTAGGGTTTTGTAGCCGTTTCGGCATTCTCGTTTGATATCAATAATATTTCTTTTACTTTGTTAGTATTGTTTGTTACGCACTCTGATATTCAACTAACATTGTGAATCGTTGTAATGTTGCCAATAGTTTTAGGTTGGTTGTGTTGCGATAATTGTTTACGCGCAACATCAGTTAAACATGCAACATAAAGTTTTTTTTTTCTAAAAAGAACAAAGAAATTACAAAAAAAATTTCTCTCCTCGGGCAGCCAACACCAACAAAGTCTCAACTCAAGCAGCCCTGGCTTCAGGTGGGAGAGAATTCAACCAAATACCGGACTCAGAAGAGAAGCTTGACCCACAGCAGCAAGGGCATGGGCAACAAATTAAATTGGCCTCACGGAACACATGATGGAAATCAATAGCAACGAAACGACAACCAAGACTCTGGATGTTCCAAATAATAGTACGAAGCCTCCAGGGGACAGGATTTTAGAATCAACTTTCATGTACCTCAGCCTGCAGTAATAAGGGCTGCATGCAGCCCGTCTAGCAAAGCTTGACCCTACGCAATCAACACATTAATTAGCCGTACCAACGTTTTGAGCTCCAGCAAGTAGAGGGTGTTGGGGCTTAAAAAAAAACTTCACTACTTTGGAATGTTTATCTCACAAAAAAGAATGTAATGCAGTGAAATTGATAGGCAAGAAAAAGAAAGAACACTCAAAGTATTACACAAACTTTTTATTCTCACACAAACTTAGTACAAGAGGAAACACTCAAACACTCTTGGAAGCTTTGTTACTTATTCTCACTTCTCACTTGGCATTCTCACTTCTCACTACTTGCTATCTTGGTTGTTACATCACATAGCTTAGCACCTCACCTATTTATAGGCAAGGTTTGCCAACTTTGGCATTGCTAGAACTTTCTAGCTAATGCTTAACAACCACACATTTTTACAAGATTTTAGATATTTCTACAAAAAACCGATATTTATGCATGAATCCCACAAACTTGAACTTTGCTAGAACTCTCTAGCATGCGCATGGATATTTCTTTGTATATAGACTGGATCAATTATCTTGGGCCAAGACAATATTACAATTCAACAGAGGGGAACCGGACGCATCACGGATAACAAAAGCACTGGCAGCTTGGCAATTGAGGATAACAGACCCATTAAAGTCAAGCTTGAGAGACGCACCATTAGGCGGAGACCATCTAATCTGGGAAGAGGGCTCCATAAGAATAGTGAGAATTGTGAGCTTAATTTATCACGCCCCGGACCCGGGGTCAGTAGAAAACCTCAAATCCGAAGTGCGAGTTAAAAATAAATAAACAAAAATGTTACAAAGACCTTTGGATGCGATTCAACAATTTATTAGGTCCAGAAATCATTTTTTATTGATTTTTAGAGTTGAAAAAGAGAGAGAGAGAGAGAGAGGAAAAAAAAAAGTAATAGACTGTCCCCCAAATATA